CCCATAAAGGACTTCACCACAGTTTTTTTACTGGATATACTGAGGTCGATAGTTTTGTAGCAGCTCAAGGAATGTAAAATCAGAAAAGTTTTTTTTTGTCGATGAATCGAAATTTGTCGATAATTGTTTTTTGGTTTTTCTGCAACATATTTCATGTAGTCCCTTTATTTTCAAGACGGAACGGATTTGGAACAAGTAAACATGCATATCTGAAACAGGCACTGACATTTGATGTAAACAAATGAATTGAACTGAAATGTCAAGTAAACAAGTGAATTGAAAACATTGGAGACTATTGTGATACATAGATTTGCTTAAATTATAAACCAAGTTAAAATGATCGGCACAAATTTCGGCATCTTCCGACCACATTCGTCAAGCTCGATTGCTGGTGGTTCAGGTGCCACAGCTATGCCAGAAGAACGTGCAGTCGTTCAACAGTTGAGCGATTTCATGTTACAACTGGAGGATTATGTACCAACAGTGCCTGATGCAGTGACAGCTTGCTATCTAAATTCTGCCGGATTTGAATCAAATGATCCCCGCATTGTGCGCTTGATATCGGTAGCTACTCAAAAGTTTATTTCCGATGTCGCCAATGNACATATTAACCTCATATATGAATTATCATGGCTTCTTTTATTGTACGTTATTAACACTGTCTTTTCATATCGAAATAAAGTCGGGAAAATAAATGAGTAAAGTTGATCATCTTAAAAATTAGTTAAGCAGCTTGGTCGCCTAAGCAGTCTAAATGAATTGATTGCAGTTACATTTATAGTCAATGCCAACAGTGTTTAAATACATCAGTATAGATTAATACAGATATCTTCTCGTCTCATTGACACTTTACAAATCGAACAAGCGAACTTTTGCTTCCTCCGGCTACTTTAAATGCCAAAACCGCTGACGCTAACAATATTATGTAGGTGGGCAATAATGTGGCTGCGTACATCCCTTGTGCGTTGAGTAATGTTATTAGCGATACGAAGAGATGCGTGCTGATGACGTAAGCTATATGATAGTAGTTATTGATATCAAAAGCATTGAAAAATATAACACTCCAGAAAGTATGAAGTAGTATCATTGCGAGAGCTTGTATCGCCGAAGTTATTAGGAACACTTCCGATCCGCCTTTAAGACCCATAGTACCCGGACCCGACTATAAACCAAATCGATCAATCATTATTGCAAATATATACATATATCCAGAATTTTAAATGTCTTCTCACCAAATCCGCAAGTAAATTGACCAATGCAAACATGCCAGATATTATACCGAATCCAAGACCTGACACATAAGCCAGAATATGCTTATTTTCGATTATACCCGGATTATCAGATACCGCTTGAAGTCCTTGTTCAGTGCGTCTCAGAATACGATAGATAATGTAGCGAAATCCTTCTTGAAATAGCACTGAAAATGTTACACCGAACCACAAGTAATCTCTCAATGGTACCAGAGCAAACCACAGCAAGGCAGATGCCAGAAGTGCTACTAGCCAAAAGAAGGCGGCAGCGATGAGGATAATTATTCGTATGGAATCATTTGCTATTGTGAAAACAAACATCGCTAATGGTGTACCGAATGCGATGAAGCCACAGCCAAAGATTTCCGGAAGCGTCATTTTCTTTGTTAATACGTTAATTTAATGATGATAGGATGCCAAGTAAAAAGTGCACTATTTTATCTGCAAATGAAATTGTTGTTGTATAAATAGTGAGGTTACCAAACAAAATTAATTATGTTGTGTTTTTAAATTTGTATATCGATAACGTGAAATCCGAAGTATGTTTGTATATGGAAATTACACAATTTGTATAGTTATTTTGATTAATATATGAAAAGAATTATGTTTAGATATATAAAATAGTTTATGGTGTACATGCTACAAGTTTTTATAATGAAAACATTGCTTGCGGCTTTCGATTAATTTAGAAATGCATACTTCAATATTGAAGTGTCTTCAAACGCCGGCTGGCAGCACCAACGCTTGCAAATAACGTACGTTCTTGCTTAGTGCAGGCGCTAATTCATTCATTTCATACACAACTTGTATCACAGTATAGACAGTAACCAACCTTTTTGGATTGTTGTTGTAGTAGTC